AAGATAATCGATATAGAACGTCGATACGAGACCTACGAGTAAGAGCTCCTAGTAATCGCAGAAGCCCCTAAGTACTAGCGCTACCATCTCGATAGTACTTAGCATACAATTCAGGTCTATACGGACTATAACAACCTACGTAGTATTACTATGGTTATAAGGGTTATAGGTCGACAGGCTAGATAGGCTGTCTACCTCGCTAGGTTCGATTTCAATATATTATACTAGCTAGGCGCAAGTAACCCTACCGATAGCCTATCGAGGCGACCTAATTACGATAGCGAGACTTAGTATATTAATTTATTGTTTCTAACCCTATAGCATAAGATTGCTATAGCCTATATTGTTAATAAGCAAGCGTAGGATAAGCGGACCTCTAGACCCCGCGGCGGTAACAAATACTATAGCGGAGTTGTCGTTCTTCTAGTATGCGTTAGAAAGGACGTAGATCGCTCGAGCTATAATAACTCGATTAAAGACATTGCTATCTATAGTAATAGCCTATATAGCGATAGCACTATAGAAGAGGTTATAGTAGTTCCGGCTACTAGTACTGTTAGATACATATAATACGTATCTCGTTCGATAGCAAGGGTGCTATTAAATAACCTTATAAATAGGGATAGTTAATCGTTTATAAATAAGCTATTACGTACTTAGTAGGGGGACGCCTTTGCTGTTAAACGTGTTAATAGGCTTGTAAGTAGACGGGCGACTCGATCTAGTAAGTGTAATAGTTAGTAGATCGACGACAAGGGTTACTTAAAGTTTAAGGGCAGATACTATATCCCCGCTAAACAATCGATTAGACAAGAGCTTTTAAAAAGGCACTATAATAGTAAGCTCGCTAGTTACTATAGCATAGAGAGGTCGCACGAGTTACTATCGCGTACATACTACTAGCTAAATAGTAAGCGGCATATAAAGGAGTATATACAAACCTATATAGTATACTAGCGAGTTAAAGCACCGAAGCACTTACTATTCGGCGAGCTGTCTTCGCTTCCTATCCTAAAGAAGCTATTTATAGAGATTACAATAGACTTTATTATAGGCCTTCCGCCCGCTAAGCGTAGAGGCAGCAAGGACGTATATAATACTATCCTTATTATAGTAGATCGATTTACTAAAGGCGCTCGATATATCCCGGCGCGCAAAGATTAGACTACTATTAATATAGTAGAGGCGCTATAGACTAGTATCTTCTATACCTATTAGGGAACCCCTAAGGGGATAGTGTCTAATCGTAGATCGATACTAATATCGCACTATTAGAGCGAAATATGCCTATAGCTAAGACTGAAGCATCGGCTATTAATAGCCTTCTATCTATAGACTAACGGTCAAATAGAGAGGCAGAATGCTACCCTATAGCAGTACCTACGCAGCTATATTAATAAGAACCCCGAGGATTAGGTTAATCTCCTATAGCCTATAGAATTCGTATATAACAATAGCGTACACTCGTTAACTAAGGTTTTACTATATATAGCTATAATAGGCCAAAACGCTGCCTTACTATAAGACCTATTTACCTCGCTCGAGGCCGAGCGTAAGGAAAGGGAAGCGCGTTAAGTACTAGAGACACTAGCGGCAATAGAACGTATCTAGAAGATGCGAGAAATCTATACTAAGATAGCTAAGAAGCTAACAAAGGCTTAAGAGTACTAAAAGACCTACTACGATAAGCGCTATATACTAATAATCTTTAAACAAGGCGATATAGTTATGCTTAGTACGAAGAACCTCCGTATCCGCAAACACCTATCCCCTAATAGCAAAACAAGGCCTAAGCTCGTACCGAGATATATTAGCCTATTCCGCATCCGAGAAGTTAAAGGCTCCTCCGTATAGGCCTATTAGTTGTAGCTTCCCCCTTATTATACTATCTATAACACCTTCTACGTATCCCTCCTTAAACTATACTATTAGCGTAAAGGCGATAAAGCGCCTACTAAGTTAGAAGAAGTCTTAGCCGATAGTAAAGAGCTATAGTTTATAGAACGTATCCTATAGCACCGGACTAGGAAAGGCAAGAAGGAGTACCTATTAAGATAGTAAGGCTATTTACCTAAATAGGACTCGTAGGAAGCTAAAGACTCGTTTAAGGATATAACTGAGTTGCTAGATAAGTATTAGACTAGTGTAAAGAACAAGAAGAAGGCTAAGGGCCTATAATGTTACTAGAAAGGCCTAGGATTAATACTACCCCTAGGGTGCTATTAGCTAACTAATTAGAGGCAAGCAATTGTTAGTAACAAAGGGCAATAAGACTATACTACTATAGTAAACGCGTACCGAGTGTTAATAAGCGCGCTATAGCGCGTTAACTAATCGTATACTCTTTTAAGGCTCTACCTCTTTACTAATGCGCCCTATAAGGCCTTCTCCTAGTATTAGGTCCCCCTTTTGTTCCTTTATCCTATCGAAGGTAATAGTGTCGCGCTACGAGCTAGTAGTGTGCCGGCGGCCGGCGCGGCTATATTAGTAACAGTGTTGCGGAGTATGTTGTTAGTTAAAGAAGAAGATTAGAAGCGAGGTAAAGTTAGCGCTAAGACGGCTAGCGCCGCTATTATTAACATTACTTGCTATTGTCGCTACGCCTATAGAGACAATCTTACCTATACTACGAGCCGAGGCACTAAGGGGTTAATTAAAACTTTAAGCCGCCTAAAAGATTAAGCGACTAATAGACTAACTAAGGGCAAAAACTATAGAGCTAAGCTAGCCGGGGTCGATCTTGCGAATAATAGGTTACTCCTCGATCTTTCTAACCCTTTAAGCGAGGCGAACCCTAACTATTGCACTTATAACAGCCTTTACTTATAGAAACTAGACGAACTGTGTTTTTTGAAAAAATAAAATAAGATTAATAATTAAAGGCTACTAAACCTAACTAATCGGGGCTAGCGAAACTAGGAACAATAATAGCCCTCGTAATAATAAGAACAATCCCTCGGAGCGGACATTTCTAGGTCTTTTAGAGTAGACGTAAAGAACTCGGAACGACATTACTTAGAACGGAGGCAGTGCTCTAATACCTCGTACGCCTACCTATTATAGTAGGGAAGGCGCGCTCGTATTATAATTAGTCGGTAGTCCTTAATTCTCGTAGTTATATATTACTTTATTATATATAAGGATAGCGCAGTTAGAGTTAGATATTATATTAGAAGGTGAGGTTTAATATAGTTACATAATTAGGTAGTTAAGTATTTAATTTAGCGCGGCTAAGCAGCTTATTAGATTTGCTAAGTTAGTAGTAATAGAGGTTAAGATTAGAATATAGACCGGCTACGAGGGCGCGGCCTTTAGAAGGGAAGCGTATATTAGGGCTAAAGAGGCTATACGTAATTGGTATATAACTAGACCGAGTAAAGCTAGGGTCTTAGTGCCTTAGGCAGGGCTTAGCGCTTAACGTTAGGCTAACTAGCCTACCTTCCTCCCTCTCCTCCTATATCCTTATCGAATACTACTTGTACCTACTACTACCCTATCTACCTGCTAATATAACCTTTCTTATATTATATTAGCAGGTAGATAGGGTAGTAGTAGGTATAAGTAGTATTCGATAAGGATTTAGGAGAAAAGGGAGGAAGGTAGGCTAGTTAGCCTAACGCTAAGCGCTAAGCCCTACCTAAGGCACTAAGACCCTAGCTTTACTCGGCCTAATTATATACTAATTACGTATAGCCTCTTTAGCCCTAATATCTTACTATTCGTATATTCGAGAAGTACTAGCGAGTACTAAGGAGCGATTATAATAGTAACGAGATAACTACTTACTATACCTTAGAGCTACTTAAGCGGATTAATAAGCGGCTTATACGGTCGACTCGGCGTAAGGCTACTAGACCTAGGCTAATTAAATAGGCCGCTAGATAGGCCGCTAGACAGACCGCTAGACAGGCCGCTAGATAGGCCGCTAGATAGGCCGCTATTAACTAGTAAGAAGCGATAAGATAGGCTAAGCTAGGGAGGCCTATTCTACCGCTACTAGTACTACGAGAACGTTTACGTAAGGGCTATATATATAAAACGGCCTATAGGAGGTATAAGTGCGTTAAAGATAATGTGGACTACTACGCTAGCTATTATAAGTATAGGTAGTACGATAGAAACCCTATATCTACTTATTTACTTACTTAGGAAGGACCCCTACCCGCTCCGAGTACTCTACTAGTATCTATAGCGCTAGTAGATATACTAGATTATACTAAGATTATATAGCAGGAACTATACGTTAATACGAGGGTCGTAGAACCTTGTTTGCTAGGCAGGTAGTATGTCTAGAATAGTTAGGATTAGCTATAGTATCGAATTCTACGTCTATTATTTACTTAATTCTTCTTTCCTACGTTATTATTCTACTAAGCAGCTAGTATAGGCATTAGAAGTTACTATACGATGTTCTACAGTGTGGATTACTAACAATCTAGTCTCACCGAGACCGGAGCGGCCCTAGGTCCGTAGATTCTCGAATAACCGGAGTGGATTCTCGAATAGCCTCGCCCGCGACAGACCGTTCTAAAATGCTTGGCGTCATCGATGCCGACACTTGTGGTCGATGTCGCTGGATTTGACTTTCCGGACCTTGTTGCTTACAGGCAACCCCGGTATCAGCGTTGGTCCTGTCATCTCCAACCCAACGATGCTCGAACGCCTCGATTCTGTGAGCGATTCCCGGAGAAGCATGCCGACGTGTTGCAACACCCTTGACCTATTCGCCCTCTCGTACGGAGCTTTTGGCGACCCCACCATCAACGAGCATCATGTTATTTTGTGTGGTTTGAGACAGTTGCTTTCATTGCTCCTATTTCAACCTCACTTGCTTTGTCGTAGCAAGACTGCCTATATTCAACGACTGCCAGGGACGTCTACGACATAGAGTGTCTCCCTTCGACAGCCAAGCAAGGCTATTCGAGCGAAAAGGTCACCGAGACCGCCGAGTCAGCCCATCGTATGTCTCGCGAGAGCGGCGAGACTCACAGACTGCAGCAATGACGACGACGAATCCAAAAGACTCCATGACCTCGACATGGCGCACAGCCGACCGAAATACCTGGACAATCTGGCATTGGTGGTACGAATGGGTGAGGGTCCATCCCACTGACCTGGACCGCGAAGTACCTGTTCACGACAAGAGTGATCCAATACCAGTCGTCTCGCATTTTCAGTGTCACAAGTGGGTCCTTGTACATGCTTTATGGCCGCTGGCGCTCCATCGGCTGTACTGCTGGACGTTTGGCAAGAATCTGCACCCTCTCGTGGCCCTCTTGTTTTATACTGTTGCGTATAAGATGAACGGAGTTCACGAACTAATCATGATTCGCGATGTCGGCCATACACATGGATTCCTTGATGGCGACAAGCACGCACGAGACGGTGTGCCTGATCACGCAGTCAAAAAAGTGTTCAATTCGCTGATATCCACCTTGACGGTCCGATCACTAATGGTCGTATTCTTCGCATACCGACGTAACGAGGTTCCGACGCTGAGCTGGTGGCTCATCCCAGAGATAGGCTTCTATCTGACAATCCTTGACTTCTGGTTCTACTGGTATCACAGAAGCATGCACCAAGTCGACAGGCTCTGGAAGTATCACCGCACGCATCACCTGACTAAGCATCCAAATCCGCTTCTGACTTTGTACGCGGACGCCGAACAGGAAATCTTTGACATTGCTGTTATCCCGCTGCTAACATATGGGACTATGAAGCTCATGGGGTTTCCCCTGGGCTTTGGGGACTTGTGGCTATGCAACCAGTACCAAGTTTTCACAGAGCTGTTCGGACACAGCGGTCTACGAGTCCTGTGGAGACCTCCAACTACAGCCAATTGGTTCCTAGACTTGTTTGATGCTCAGCTGGTCCTCGAAGACCACGATCTCCATCATCGAAAAGGCTGGAGGAACAGCTTTAACTACGGCAAGCAGACTATGCTCTGGGATAAGGCTTTTGGAACTCACGCAGAGCGCATCGAGTCGAAAAATGTAAATTGGTCTCGGCAAGTAACGCTGAAGTTGTGGGTCATCTGAAGGGTCGGCTGTCGATTACAAGGGCGTTTCCATTGCGAGACGGGACGAGGTGTGAAAAGGCTGCAATGATGGCCGGCCTGGTCAATGGCGGTTGAATGATATGATCCGAGACGGCAACGGCACGGCGTAGCAGATCGGACCGGGGGTCGATTGATGAGTTGCAAGTTGAAGGTGATGCCGAGAAAAGGCATTTGTATTGCATTATCCCGCAGTCTGAGTGACCCTATTTTCCTAGGCCGTCTCAACTCCCGAGTATTTGCCGCAGCGCGCCGCTTGCAGTATCGCTCTTGTAATTCTTATATATTATTCACGAAGCGGGCGACCTCGGCACCTTCTAGAGCGTAGCGGAGGTCAGGTGACTAGGGGGAGCACGCTCGCAGGTCGTGCTACGCGTGTCGATTTCTTAGCGCTCTCTAATTAGTTATTTTTGGTTACGTATCGGCCTAAGGGATTAGTTAACTTTAGCTTTAGCAATATAATACGTCCTACTATATAGTATATCTCTTTAAATATCTCTTATAGTCTACATACAGCTAGCCGCCGAGCCTACCAAGTATTAGTTAGTATATATCCTATAGAGTAAAAAGCTAAGCGTAGCGCAAGGGGAGCCTATACTAGTAGGGATTTCCTCTATAGGTAGTCTAATAGAAAACTAGTAGTATTAGAAAGATAGTAGTATTATTTATAAGTCTATACTCTAAATATAAAGTAATATCTCTATTACGGTTTCCTATAGTCCTTTGCCTCTAGTTCTAAAATAGCGGGCTAATACGTAGTAAAGAAACGCGAAATATAACGTATAGGTTCCGCTTTCTTCTACTTTAAACCCCTACTTCGCTATTTCTATAATAACTAAGACCTATTATAGCTAGCCTCGATTAGTATAATAATAGCGACTCTTACTCTAGAAGGAGGTAGTAAATTCCTACTAGGCGGTCTATCTAAGAATAAGGTTCCTACCGATAAGCCCGACTTACTACTAGTGCCTCTTAGTACTTAGAAGTATAGTACTTATAAGATAATAAAGGAGAATAGGGAATTCTTTACTAGTAAATACTAGGATAGTAAGCCGGTCTTACGTAGGACTTATAATAAATACTAGAAGGGCGATTCTAGAGGCGGCGGCGCTTATAAAGATACTAGTCGCCTATCTCGAGTTAGCGATATTAGCGAAGGATATAGCCGTAGAGGCACTCGTACCGGAGAAGATCGTAAAGAAGTTATTATCCGCTAGCGTAGTAACTATATAGTACGTATAAATCGCTATACTACTAGTAAAATTTAAGCGCTACCTAGAGGAGTATTAGCCCTATCTACGCTAGAAAAGCCGACTCGTCGACTACGGAAAGCAAATGCTACTACGACTCGAGTATAGAAACTAAAGGAGCTCTAGTAGAGGAATTAGGGTACTAGCCCTCCGGATAACGATATCCCTCTAATATTGCCTTACTTTAACTACGATAACTACTAGTATAATCGAGTAAACAAGTAAAAGCGTATTAAGGAGGATAATAATATTTATATCTAGTATAATAATTATAAGAAGGGTTATATTAGCAGGTAGATAGGGTAGTAGTAGGTTAGTATAGTATTCGATAGAGCTCTAGGAGGAGAAGGAGGAAGGTAGGCTAGTTAGCCTAACGCTAAGCGCTAAGCCCTGCCTAAGGCACTAAGACCCTAGCTTTACTCGGTCTAGTTATATACTAATTACGTATAGCCTCTTTAGCCCTAATATACGCTTCCCTTTCAAAGGCCGCGCCCTCGTAGCCTATCTATATTCTAATCTCGACCTCTATTGCTACTAACTTAGTAAGTCTAATAAACTACTTAGCCCGCGCTAAATTAAACACTTAACTACCCAATTATATAACCACGTTAAACCTTACCCTCTAACACAATGTCTAACTCCAACTGCGCTATCCTTATGTGTAATAAAGTAAAGCGATATATATCTATAAGAATTAAGGGCTATCGACTAATTATAATACGAGCGCGTCTTCCCTACTATAACAGGTAGGCGTACGAGGTATTGCAGCACTGCCTCCGTTCTAAGTAATATCGTACCGAGTTCTTTGCGTCTACTCTAAAAGACCTAGAAATGTCCGCTCTAAGGGATTGTTTTTATTATTACGAGGGCTATTATTGTTCGTAGTTTCGCTAGCTCTAATCGGTTAGGTTTAGCAGCCTTTAATTATTAATTAATCTTATCTTTTTAAAAACGCAGTTCGTCTAGTTTCTATAGATAAAGGCTATTATAAGTGTAATAGTTAAGGTTCGCCTCGCTTAAAGGGTCGGAAAGATCGAGGAGTAACTTATTATCCGCAAGATCGACCCTAGCTAGCTTAGCTCTATATTTTTGCCCTTAGTTAGCCTATTAATCGCTTAACCCTTTAAGCCTTAGTCTTTAGACTTAGTTAAAGTTTTAATTAAACCCTTAATAGGTTCAATCTTTTAACTTAGTTAGTATAGTACTTTGGGCTCGTATTATAGGTAAGGTTGTATCTATAGGCGTAGTAGTAGTAGCAAGTAATGTTAATAATAGCGGCGCTAGCCGCCTTAGCGCTAACTTTATATTACTTCTAAGTTCCTTCTTCGACTAGTAACGCTTTAACTAGCAACACACTCCGTAATACTATTACTAATATAGCCGCGCTGTCTCCCTAGCCGTCGCTAGCTCGTAGCGCGACGCTATTGTTATTATTATTATTATTATCCGCGCGCGCGCTATCCCCGCCGACCGCCTAAGCCTTAGGGCCTCGATAGAATAAAGGAATAAAAGGGGGACCCGAATACTAAGGGAAGGGCCTTATTGCGTTAGCAGAGAGGTAAAATCCTTAAAAGAGTAGGCGATTAGTTAACGCGTTATAGCGCGCTTGTTAACGCTCGGTGCGCGTTTACTATAGTAGTATAGTCTTATTGTCCTAGTTTGCCGGCCTCTAATTAGTTAGCTAATAGTACCCCGGGGGTAGTATTATTCCTAGGCGACATTATAGGCCCTTAGCCTTCTTCTTATTCTTTATACTAGTCTAATACTTATCTAACAACTTAGTTATATCCTCGAAGGAACCTTTAGCTTCCTACGAGTCCTATTTAGGTAAATAGCCTTGCTATCTTAATAGGTATTCCTTCTTGCCTTGCCTAGTCTAGTGCTTTAGGATGCGTTCTATAGACTATAGCTCTTTACTATCGGCTAAGACTTCTTCTAACTTAGTAGGCGCTTTATCGCCTTCGCGTTAATAGTATAGTTTAAGAAGGGATATATAGAAGGTATTATAGATAGTATAATAGGGTAGAAGCTATAACTAATAGGCCTAGGTGCCTCTAGGTTCTCGGATACAGAAGGGGCTAATATACCTTAGTACGAGCTTAGGCCTTGTTTTGCTATCGGGCGAGGGGTGTTTGCGGATACGTAGGTTCTTCGTACTAAGCATAACTATATCGCCCTTCCGGAAGGTTATTAGAAGGTAGTGTTTATTATAGTAGGCCTTCTAATAGGCCTAGGCCTTTGCTAGTTTGTTAGCTATCTTAGCGTGAATTTCTCGCATCTTTTAAACTCTCTTAATAGCCGCTAGTGTCTTAGGTTAACCCGCTTCCCTTTCCTTACGCTCGGCCTCGAGCGATAGGGGGTCTTATAGCAATATAGGGTTGCTGCCTATTATAGCGAAATAAGGGGAGACCTTAGTAGATAAGTAGACACTATTATTATATACGAATTTAGCTAGTTATAGGAGGTTAACCTAGTCGTTAGGGTTCTTATTAATATAGCTACGTAGGTATTGCTATAGGGTAGCATTTTGCCTCTCGGTTTAGCTATCTGTTTATAGATAGAATACTATAGACAGGCGATGCTTAAGTCTTAGCTATAGGCATATCTTACTCTAATAATAAGATGTAAATGTCGAGCCCCGGTTAGAGACTATCCCCTTAGGGGTTCCCTAATAGCTATAGAAGATATTGTTCTATAGTGCTTTAGCTATATTAATAGTAGTCTAATCCTTCCGAGTAGGGATATAACAAGCGCCCTTAGTAAATCGGTCTACTACGATAAGGATAGCGTCGAAGATGTCCTTGCTACCCCTACGCTTAGTAGGCGGAAGGCCTGTATATAATAAAGTCTATTATTAGCTCTATAAATAGTTTCTTTAGAACAGGAAGTAAAGACAACTCGCCGAATAGTAAGTGCTTTAGTGCTTTAACTCGTTAATATACGGCATACGTATTTACGTAGTCCTTTATATCCCGCTTACTATATAGCTAGTAGTATATACGCGATAGTAGCTCGTGCGACCTCTCTATACTATAGTAACCGGCAAGCTTACTATTATAGTATCGCTTAAGAAGCTCTTATCGGATCGAATGCTTAGTAGGGACATACAATCTACCCTTATAGCGCAAATAGCTATCGGCATTAATCGACTAATTCTTGCTAGATCTAGTCTTACGGCTACTTCTAAGCTAATCTATACGAGCAGTAGTAAAAGCGTCCCTTTGCTAAGCACGTAATAGCTTATCTATAAACGCTCGTCTATCCCCTTCTATAAGTTCGCTTAATAGCACCCTCGCTATCTTGCGTAGTACGCACTATATGCATCTAGTAGCACTAGCAGCCGGATTAACTATAGCAGTGCTATCGCTATTACTATATATAGCGATGTCGACTAGGGAGTTATTATAACTCTTTCTATTAGTATTATTAGCCCTCGCCTTAATACGTACTATTAATACTGTAAGAGTATTAATATACTTTAAGCCGTCGCGGAGTCCGGTAAGCTACTTATCCTACGCTTGCTTATTAACAATATAGGCTATAGCAATCTTATACTATAGGGTTAGAAATAATAAATTAATGTACTAAGTCTCGCTGTCGTAATTAGATCGCCTCGATAGGCTATCGGCAGGGTTGCTTACGCCTAGCTAGTATAGTATATTAAAATCGAACCTAGCGAGGTAGACGGCCTATCTAGCCTATCGACCTATAACCCTAGTAACCTTCGTAATTCTACGGAGGTTATTATAGTCCGTATAGACCTAAATAGTATACTATATACTATCGAGATAGTAGCGCTAGTGCTTAAAGGCTTCTACGATTGCTAAGAGCTCTTGCTCGTAGGTCTCGTATCGACGTTCTATATCGATTATCTTCTATAAAAAGAAGGCAATTAGGTGCTAGTAATTGTTATTAGCCTGTTGTAATATAATGGCTAATACAGCGAACTGTAAAGCGTTAGTCTTA